AAAGGTGGAATTAATTGATTAAAAAATAGAGAAAAATCGATTATCCTGCTCTGTTCAAAACTTATCGATTAAATGGACAAATTTAATCGATTAAGTCTATTGGCCTGAGAAATCCAACGCTGAGAAATTGGATCTAATCGATTATTTTAGATAAATTAATTGATTAAAGTGAAAAATAATGCGAAAACATGAAGGGCCCAAGCCAAGTGCGATTGGAAGCCTTTGGCTTCTAACTCGTTGTTTGGGACAACGGGAATATCAACGGACGCTCCTCCTATTCAATGAATTTGAGTAGGGGAGAGAAAAAGAGTCCAAAAATTATTTTGTGTGTCAAACGATGTACACGAAAAATATTTAAATTATATTTTTCTTACCAAAAAAAATTTTGTAATCTTAAAAAATGTTTTAAGGAAATTTTGACACACTTATTTTGAAACTGACTCACTAAAATATTTTAGACAGAGGAAAAGGTAATTTTCAATTGACTAAAAAATATTTATTTTTATCCCTCAGAAATTAATTCGTTTGTGCAGAAAATATTGTCATCCTTACAAAGATTCCTAGACTTAATAAAAAATAAAAAAAAGTCTTCGAAGTCTTCACTTCACTTCAAAAAAAATCTGCGTAGGGGTGATCGTCGATTTTTATCGCCGTAAACTTCTTGATACTCTTCTTTGTTTTTCTCGATACGAAAATAAATTTTCGATCAGCTTTAAATTAACCATCCTGTTTGTCATTCATCAAAACACAAAATATTCCAGAAGAAATAATAAAGGGGTTTGAACTCATGTCCAACAATTCTAATCTCCTAAAATCGCCGGCCACAGAGACTCATCGATCGAGAATAGGACATCGTCGTCGCGGAAGCTCAGAAGTTCGGAACTCCTCTGCGACGCGGCCGGAAGTTCGGAACTCCTCTTCGTCTCCTTCATCTGAGCGTGTTCTTCAATCGTCACACCCTAATCAGGTATGTCGGCTACACTTCCTCACCTTCTTCGTCTTAGCAACAGTGTTTCCAAAGAACCTGTATAATCTATTCCATGGAGACAAATTTTGTCCAAACCACTTGTTTGGGCTTTGATAGTGTCTCACTTCTATCACAATTGGGGAAATTTTATTATTATTACATGGATGCCTACATATTATCACCAGGTAGTTTATTTACAGTTTTTGATTCATTATACTTGCTGGTTGTTTAACACGAATAAGTTTCAATGTATATAAATTGTATTTCATTGATGTTAAAATACACTCCTATCAAAGACCTTTTCAGTGCTATGAACTTTTTTGGATCCTTCGCCTCCTGAATGTTTACCGTATGCATTGATAAGTGTGTAACTTTGATGTGCATAATACCAGAGTACCCTTCAACCTTTTGTTTATCTCAAATTTTGACCTCTTTTCAGTGGTTATTATATCATGTGTATTTTGCATTTTTAGGACTTAGACCAGATCTCTTTCAAATCATGAGTTAGGTGTTTCATAGCAATATAAAAGCTATTTCTTTTGAAGTTATTGGCTAGGAAACTGAACTGGTCTGGTATAAATTAATCTACCAATCGATTGTTGGTACGTTTTGCTCGTCAATTGTTGGTTTGTCTAGGAGTCCTAAAAAAATATTCTTAACATACTATCATTTCATAATTATTGATAATTGTTGGTTTTTTTCAAAAGTAGATATCTATTTTTTCAACATATTTTTATTTTTGACTTCAGGTTTAAAATTATCATAGTATGGATGTGTTTAAGGACAAAAGTTGGGTGAAGTTAAGGAGACTTGATAAGAAATATTTTGAATCTTTAAACGTGTTCCTTGATTATGCCTATGCAACTTCTTCCGTAGATGATTAGATTGCATGTCCATGTTCAATTTGCGGCAATAGAAAATATTACGATAGAGAAACTGTAAAAGGCCACTTACTTATGAAAGCAATGGATGCTGACTATCAAAGGTGTGTTTGGGTATTTCATGGGGAATCCCGCAATAATCATTATGAGGGTGAAAATGATGGTGACATGATGGATGATGAACTTGAGGATGACAATGATAATGGTGAACCGTTAGGTCATGATATATATGGGATGATAGGCAAAGCATTTGAGAATTGTCATGGCAATTTGTCTTCATCCGGACAAAATGAAGAGGCCAAAACCTTTTTCAAGTTGCTTCAAGATGCAGGCCAACCTCTTTATCATGGATGTGAAGATTTTAGCAAACTCTCTTTCATCATTGAGATGTATAACCTAAAATGCTTGTATGGTGTGACTGACAGAGCGTTTAATGCTTTTGTCAAGCTATTCAAAAGGGCTCTCCCAAGGAATCATCACTGCCAAACTCTTTCAAAAAAATGCAACACATCATCAAACAATTTGGCTTGGGCTATGAAAAAATTGATGCATGTCCTAATGATTGTGTTTTGTTTAGGAAGGATAAGGTTGGATTGTCTAAGTGCCCTGAGTGTAATGCATCAAGGTATAAGATGGCAGATGATGGAACGATCATGAAATTAGCCTCAGGGAAGCGTATTCCTGTTAAGGTTTTACATTATTTTCCATTAATTCCTAGACTAAAGAGGTTGTATATGTCATCGAAGACATCTCCCTTAATGAGATGGCATGCAGATAAGCGCAAAGATGATGGAAAACTATGGCATCCAACAGATTCTCAAGCATGGAAAGATTTTGATTTGAGATACCCTAACTTTGCCAAAGATCCTCGAAATGTGAGGCTTTGCTTGGCCAGTGATGGATTTAATCCCTTCGGAAATTTGAGTAACCAGTACATCATATGACCAGTTGTTCTCATGACGTATAATTTGCCACCATGGTTACGCATGAAGCAATCCTATAGCTATCTTTCATTGCTTATTCCGGGTCCAACAAGACCGGATAACAATATTGATGTCTATTTAGAACCTTTAGTGAAAGAGCTAGAAGAATTATGGGAAAGACGTGTGGAAACTTATGATGCATTTAATGATGAGTCTTTCGTGTTACGGGGAGCTTTTCTTACAACCATTAATGACTTTCTAGCATATAGCATTTTGTCAGGTAGGAAAACAAAAGGGAAACATGCTTGTCCACATTGTGATGTAGAAACTTCTTCTCTATATCTATACAGTAGCAGAAAAATGTGCTATATGGGACATTGCCGCTTCTTACCTGGAGACCATGCATTTCAACGTATGAAGAAAGCTTTTGATGGAAAAACAGAAATGAGGAAGTAAGTCTTGAAACCCCTCTCAACGTGAGGAAAGAAGTACATAGTGGAAACAAGTTGAATCAACAAAATAGAGGAGATCACTATGTTTCTAGAGGTAAACGATGTAAACACTTAGTGTAATCCACATTCGTATTGTATGTCACTCTTTAATACAACAACTTTTATTTTTTATTAACAAAAGACCGCCTTAAGGGAACCGGTACAACTACTGCAAAAACTCCATTTATTGAAATTGGTTTTCATGCAAGGAATGAAGCACATGTATCAGTTGGCATAGGTAAGTCATCTACACATAAATCATTTCTTTTTTAAATAAAATCTAGATGTTGAAGGATAACATTGGTCTGATATTGTTCTAATCTTGAAAGTGACGAGGAAGTAACTCTTCAAACTCCTACCATCGTAGGAAAAGATGGCAAAAACTATAACACTGAAGCTCAAATTGGTGATGATGAATGTCATATGCAAGAACCTGAAACTAATGTGCAAAAGAAAGTGAAAGGACGTGGTAACAATAAAAGGAAGGTCTTGGATAAATCTGTCTTTGTTGAACTTAATGGAGATGATGTGCCGGTAAGTGATTCACAGAGACAAATGTCTTCTTTGATTGGTACCCTTGTACGTGATCCTAGAAAACTACCGCTTGATTGCTTTGATTGGAGAAAAATGGAAGAGGCAAAGGAGCTAATATGGATAGAAGTCAAGGTATGTTTAATTTTTATAAATGTGTATTTCCAATACCTTAAAAATTAAAGTGCATCTTAAATTTTATTGACAACTTCCCTCTTCATGAAACATAAAATGTCTCAGAGGTCCTACAACTTTCCCAAAGGAAAGGAGCCGCGTGAATGGGTGATAGTGAAAGCACATGCTTCTTGGAAAGATTACAAATCTGAGCTAAAAGAAAAATATTTTAATGGAAAAACACTTGCAACAACATTACAGAACAGGCCCCAGCATATACCTCCGAATATGTGGACGAACTTGGTGGAGTTTTGGAGTTCAGATTTAGACAAGGTATTATTTTAAAACCATATTTCATTGTATATGTTAATTTATTTAATGTGTATAGCTCTAAGAATATCAAGTATTTTTTCTTACAGAAAAGAAGAGAAATAGGGACTAAGAATCGTGGTAAGAATCGAGTTCCACATTATTCTGGGACAAGAAGTCGTGCCCGTGTTCGAGGTAATGAAGAGGTACTTGATACATTATTCGAAATCATTCATATTCATTTAGGATGGGTGGAACAAATAAATAACTACATGAACTTACAATTTTTTGTGCTTTGCGAACTATGGAGCTACTTTGTTAATATGATCTTCTCGTTTATCATGTGATAAAATCCTTATGTGCTTATGTCAATAATAACTTATGTATCCAACATGATTTTTAGGCAAAACGAAATAAGATAGATAAGCTTGGAACATGGCTATTGACACATGAGCCAAAGAAAGGTTCAAAACTTGATGATATTTCAGCTATGAAAAAGGTAAATAAAAGTAGGAAAAACCTTATTTTTTCATTGTTATTTAGGAAATTATACCCTTATTCATTGGTAAGTTATTCATAATTTTACAGGAGTTAATTCTTAAGAAGTTGGATACTTTGAAAGATGTAGAAGCTGGTGCACCTGCTTGTGATGAAGTTTTTGAAAAGGTAGTGGGAGAAGACAAAAATGGATATGCAAAGACCTTTGGTATGGGAGTGAGAGTGCCTCGATCTTGTACTAAACAGTGCGCCTTGAAGGAGAAGAAAGCAAAAAGAATGAAAATTGAACAAGAGCATGAAGAAACAAAAGAGAGACTCTAGAATTTAGAAGATGTAGTGTCATTGCTTTTAAATACCATGGTTAGTCTCTATTTATTACTGTTAACTACCCATATATTTCATTTGATTTTTGTTTAGTTCATTATATAGTTTAAAGTTATGCCACCTAGTGTGAGTATAAGGTAAATTTAGTGCAAAATATGTAACTACGTTATCATGTGCTTATATTTTTTTTTGCATAGGGTTCAAAAGCTAATCAATCTGATATCATTGACCTTACAGTTGGTGGTAATACAACCACCGAGAAAAGTCATGATGAGGATCGATGGAACAAAGATGATGAAGCTGAGAGCGATGAACTTGAAGATGTATACGAGCATTAAAGCTTTGAACTATATCTTTCATATCGGTGCACATTTTATTTTAGTTCACTTTGACTGTTTATACTTTAACTTAAATGATGAACTACTTTTGAGACGTTGGTTTACATTCTAGTAAATGGGTTAGTTGTAACCCTTTGAAATGTTATCGTATTATGTATTGTTGTTAATATAAGTATGAATATTATTTTTTATTTGTCAATGAAATTGTTTAATATCACTTAAATAGTTGGTATTAGTAATAGTTATAATAAATGTAAATGTGGGTCAAAATAAAATATTACCGACAGAAAAAAATGTTTTGCTCACACATTTATTGTCAGTAATATAACTTTTAGTGACAGTTATAATAAATGTTAATGTTGGTAAAAACAAGGTATTACCGACAGAAAAGAAGGATTTACCCACACTTCGTTTTGTCGGTAATTCATATTTTAGCGACATATATGTTTTGTCGGTACTTCTCTCTTTTTTAGCGACATCTTTGGTCTGTCGCTATTACACTATTTTAGTGACAGTATAGTTTTACTGACAGAGTTTTTAACGACAGCTTAGCGACAGACAATTATCTGTCGGTAAAAGCGAGTAGCGACAGATATTTAACCATTAGCGACATATTGACCCCTGTCGGTATTGCCTTCTTTTTTTGTAGTGGAGGTACCTTTTCCATAATCGTGATATATTTATAGCCTATGCAGTCTAACCCTTGATGGAAAGGTAATTATCATCAGCCGAATTATATACAGAAAAATGGATCTATTTACAAACGAGAACGTGCTCGCCAAAACAACAGTCTACTGACGACACGCCGTATTGAGACTCATGAACAGTTAAATTTGTTGAAATACATTCAAATCCAAGACGAAAAGTCAAAGAGACTAATTCCCTAGAAAACAACTCCTTGACTGCCTTGAGTAACTACCAAAGAGTGAAACGTTGAAGGATGAAAGTCTACAATTCGTGACGATAATTCGAAAACGCTACCTTTGTATCTTTTGACTCATATCCTTGAAATACTCAAATTTGTTGTGTTAACTACACCCTTGAGTCATCTTGCTTGATCAATCTTGAAAAGATTGAATCCATTGCTTGTACCAAACTATTGAACTATAAACAACTTGCCTTGACTTGCGATTCTCCATTAAACTCAAAAAGATGCTTTATGATACCGATCTTTGAAAACTATACTCTGTGAACTACGTGACTCGATCACAATAGTAAAATTACCCTGACTTGAACATTATCTTAAACCTCTCTTTGTGAGCTACAAAACACTTGATGTGATTGCGTTATCCATAAAGATTATTATCGATGATGATCAAGAAACTCTGTTTTGACCCTAGCAAGGGAATGTATGTGCAACAACCAGAGAAGAGATGACGTCACAAGGACCGGTATGAAATTATTCAAATAAAAGTCTTGAACTTATAGGCGAAATTGGGCAAAGGAACTAGTAAAATTCCTTAGTCTATGAAGTGTGAACTGGATCACGTACTGAAGATATACTCTTCCCTCCCTCGAAGACAAGATCAACCATAGTGTTACAATCAGACCTGTCACTATCATAAACGTATCTTGATATACTTCCAAAATCGAAGAAAGAGAGGTGAAAACGAGAAGACGTATATGAGATGCCACTCAAACGTCAACACCTATGAATACAAAGACTCATTAACGATAATGAGAGCTACCATGAAGTGAACGAAGTGATGGGAAAATATGTCAAGTATGTTCCAAAATACGATGTTATACCCTGTAAAAAAACCTTAGTTATCAATGTTGAAATTGAAAGGGAACTCACAGAGAGGATTGTTGGATACCTTACTTAATCTAAAGATTGTTAACCTCTTGAAGAAAGAACAAGTTTGATGATATTGACAATTTGAGAATACATATCCGTGTGGATAATGACGCAATCATGACTTAACTGAATAGACATGACCCGGTCATGATGAAGGTGAATACAAAAAGATGTTGATTATGGACTTTTGAAGAATTTCGAGGACGAAATTCCTTTAAGGTGCGGAGAAATGTAACGCCCCAAAACATACCCTAGAATTATTAATGAATAATTATTCAATTAATCAAATTTGTTTTGATTAAAATAATTTATTGCTAGGCTTTGCGCCGAAATAATATGTGTTTAATATCCAATATCATAATCTGGATAAATCTCATAGAGATAAATCCAACATATTAGTTTATTGTGTGATCTTAATTGGGAACCTGTGTACAGACCCAAGTTAAGAATAAATGAATAATTTGTTTATAGTGTAATGATTTATTGAAATCAATCATAAGAACAAATGATATGAATTGGATGTGAGAACCTTTTTGAATAAAGGTCAACTAAACCAATTTTGACTTCGTCAAATTCAAACACCCAAAAATAGGATGTGAGAAAAAGTATTACAAATAAATATAAAAATTATATCGTTAGATAGAGTTCGACTGTCTGATCACAACGGTGCAAATGAATTTCAATTTAGAGAAAGTTGAACCAAAAAGTACACCCCGACTAGAACCAAAATTAGTCCTAATTAGGGACTACACACCAAATGGCGCCTTGTGCAATCACCGCCGATTCTAAAAACGCAGAAGCAATCAAGAAACCCACTACTCGGCTTTCCGTGTCTTCTTCTCTTCTCCTCTTCTATATATAGAACCCAATTCTCCCATTTATTCACCATTCTCTCTATTTTTTCTTCTATTTTGTTCCTGAGAGTGTGGAGAGTAGAGTGGTGCTGTCAAGAGAGTTGGAGGTTGCTGGAGCTAGCCACAAACCTCACCGGAAGTTTCACCGGAAAATTCTCAAAATCTTCAGTAAGCTTCGAGGTATGCCCGTAGATATATCTAATGACTGAATGATCATATAGGCCATTTTTACGTTCATAAATGGTCATGTGGTTGTGTTTTGTGTTTCACAAGTTTGAAGAACTAAGAATCATAAACCTTGAATTTGATGTTAAAACTATGAACTAATGATACCAAAATGGGCTATGAACATTGGATAACAATTCTATATAGTTTAATTGAAAAATGATGACCAAAAATGACATTTCCGAAAAATGGCTCAAGGTTGAAGATGACACTGTTCAAAGACCATGCGCAGAACGGTAGCCAGCTACCGTCCGGACGATACCTTGGTATTGCTGGGACGGTAGGCCATACCGTTGGAATGGTAGGTAGCTACCGTCTCCATCCTCAAAACTGGTCTCCTCTCGCGGTATCTACTGCAAAACGGTACCCAGTATCGTATAGGCGGTACCGATCGAGGTACCGTGCAACAGTACCAAGGTACCGTTAGGGGTACCGTCAGTCTAGAGAAGAATTCAGAAACTTTATTTTTGATACTAATCAATTATGACCAATATGAATATGAGTTCTGGAAATAAAAATGATGTTTTTAAAATTAAAAAGGCATTGTGTGATGCATGACAGTAAGTTCAGGTGTTAATCCTCTAAACTAGGCCGCTACTTACTATTGGATGTTATATTAATTTATAACTATGATGAATGATTATTATGAATAATTATGAATGATAAATCCACTGATTAGAATGATTATTGATGATTAAATTATGATTTAAAAATGAATATAATGGTGATGATAAAAACGGTGTATATTGCTAAGGATATCTAGAAGAACTCTAAGATATACCTCCTTGACCAATTCATAATTCAGTTTCAAAACGTACGTACGGGATCCAGAACAGATATCACCCACCCAACAGTTTACAGTTCAGTTTGGTACGTAATCCACAAGACTGATAGGGTGGATTATCGATTCCTGTGTTCCGCCTTAAACTATTTATAGTTTAAGAGCCTAATTAGAAATATTACCTTAGACTAGGAATAGCGGAGAGATTGTTATGAAATGATTTGGCTTTAGATTAAGAATAATTTAAGAGCACTGTTGAGATATTGAATATTGTATATATCATGAAATGACTTGGAATAAATATTGACAATATCATGAATGCTTGAATTATATATTGTGTGCATGATATCAAATGGTTGATTATGAATTAAGATTCAATTTATGTGAATGTTCGACGCTTAAGATATGCTTACTCAGCTTCACTGATGAGCGTGCAGGTAGACAGAATGAATGATTGACATATTCCTGGAATCAGAAAGGACGAGACAGTCGTGGTGGATTTAATGACAAAATAAATGATTATGTTTGTTATGAGACCTGTTTAAAAGTCGCTTCCGCATTATTATTAAACAGTCCGTATTTTTTTACAATTATGTATGGAATTTGATTTATGATGAATACAGTTATTTGAAATGTTCTAAATTATACGATTACCAAGTTAATACTTTAGTCTGAAAGGGGCTGCAGACCTGGACGGATTAGGGTCTTACAAAATCATCATCTAAATAAATAAGTAAGAAAACTCTAATCTTGGATAAAAAAGAATTCATCATTATATTTGTTTAATGTGATATGTTATAAAATATAATTCTTTTTTAGAATGAAAGGATGGAATATATATTCTTTTGAATGATTCCTATCGGACATATATGGCCTATGTGCTTTTTTTGTTGAACATCAATAACTCTATTATAATGTAATATCTTTTGAAACATTCTCAAACCATTAAGCACATACAATTATTACTCTCACTAAGGATCAAACTTGTGACCTTTTATATGAGAGAGTCTGTAACGCCATGAAAACTGGTCTAAAAGAATTAAATAATAAAAATACCAATATTTGAGCGTGTGGACCACGAAGGCCTAAAAAATAAAAATATTAGGAAAAATATTTTAAATACATCGTTGGTCTCCATTTATTTTTCTGAGTACAAAATCATGAACAGTTTTGAAATCGGACTCGTTTGGAAAACAACCCAAAATTCAAATAGAGAAAACTATTATTTCTAGGACAAGGATTTAATCCCAAATCCCACATTCATTCCCCCCAATTATTTGCAAGGATTCCCCATCATTCCCCACCATCCCCTCCTTTTCATAACCATATCACCATGTTGGAACAGCCTCCAACATCCACCATCACCATACCTCCTTCCTCTCTTGGATTCTTGCTCCTTGAAGGTTGAGAGAGTGTGTAAATGTCCCCTTTCCTTCAATCCCTGATTTTTGAATAAAGGGAGACCCCCTCCC